CTTTGTGTTTGTATGTAGCTCATTTGTTTTCAAGGATTTCCATTGAGTTGTGCATGTACTTTTTTGATTTTCATTTAAATTCTTCGTGTCAATTTTTATGACTTCATTGGTATTCTTCCAGGTGTCAACATTATAAACAGTATCTTTGATTTGTCTCCATATCTATCTCCTGACAAAACCCTTTAACTTCTCTGTTCTAAACAGGTTTGCCTCTTTGGTCCAACAAGTTCCACAAAGACACAGGCTCATTGTGGTACCCTATAGCTAAAGTGCTAAAATGTAACCAGCAACTTAATCAGATCCTTGGCACTGTGGATTTTGAAAAGCACTTCGATATCTAGCACACAATACTTTAAAATCTCATGGCAAAATGTTTACTTTAATAATTTTAAATTTTGTGATGTTTAAACCTTTTCCTTTTTTACTTTTTCTTTTCAGTGTTCCAAAGTCAGAAAGAACAACAGTCCACAAGAACCTGATATTTGCTCTTGCTGCAGCAGAGGCTTTGCTGATGTGTAGTGAACTGGCAAAAACTAACGAGGTTTGATGTTCTTGCTGGAATACCATTTAAATATTGGATTTTTCTTTCATTTGAGATGGTAGTTCCAGTACTTAGTGTTATGTTAACTCCAATCATGCATTTGTGCTATGTCTTTAGTTAAGAGTTTGCTAGTTGCCAAAAATACCAAGAGCCTAAGCCCACAGATATCTTTGACAGCATTCCTAGTTTTCAACCCCCAGTCCCTCGGAAGGGTCCACTTTTTGATATTCTTGACATAATCCTCCTGACACCTTTGTAGATTAACTCACTTTTCACTTTCCTAACTCTGCTCCTTAAATAATTCCCCTTCATGTATTTCCACATGCAAATGGCATTTCAATAAGCAGTAAATCCATGTGCAAGCTTACATAATGAGACAGGCACATACATGAACACAGACACATTTTTTCACAGTAACATTTCAGTAACAGTTCACTTGTCCATAGAGATGCATAGACACACAACACCTCTGCCTACCTTGCCTCCAACTACTGCCTTTAGAAATGCACTTGTGGCTCTCAGGCCTAGCTCTTCCTTTAACAGGTCCAAAAAGTCCAAATGGAACTAATACACATTTCTTTATTTTTTAACAAGGAATAGCCTTTGGTGTATTGTCCTTAAATATGTGGTAAAAAGCATTTAAAATACAAATATACAGAACATTGGAGAATGAGCAATTATAATTAATACATTGAAAATATTACTTGTATTAAATTGTTAAACACAACAAAAAAACAACAATATATACATTTAGGTACTTATTTGGTTGCCCTTATTTGCATACCAACATTATAAAAATGTACATATTTCTATTCAGTCAGCAGAGGGCGCTGCAGACTTGTCAAACTAACAATGCATACTTTGTATATTAATTGCTACTATCACAACCCTTTTTCAGGGGCTTTTGGCATCAGGCCAATAGTCTGTTTGCAAGAGGCTACAAACCAAAGGCCGTGGCATGGGAGCTTCTTGTTCAACACTCATGCACACATGCACAGGAACACTCATGCACAGAGGCATACATGAACATAGACCAAACACACAATCCATTGCATGCAGATATATATAAACATACTCCATTGCAAATAGAAATACACAGTCATGTAGACACATTCAAGTACACACAGAAACACACATACCAACATGGTCATATACAGAGACACACACAGAAACTGTCATTATAGACAAATATAAAGATACACTCATGGACAGAGACAAATACACACTCATACACAGTGGTCAGATATTCAAAAGTCAACAACACTATTACACAGTAATACCTAGATAAGAAGTGAAAAAACTGACACACAATTACATTTTTCACTTGTGTTTCTTTCGCAATACCTCCCCATTTGCCTCTCTTCATGCCTTCCCCATACACAATTATGCAATTATGCATCCCACTATCTCCTCCCACATTTAGTTCTCTCTTCCTATTTCTCCCACATTTGTGTTATTGCAACAGTAGAGAAATTTACTAACTTAATTTAAAATTTGGCTTTCAATTAACTACAATTGGCTAATGAATCAATACGATTAATAATCAGTTTGAATTAATTTGCAAAATATGTAACTCAGAAATTCCCCTCATGACCTGCAATTTATACCATCGTCTCTAAAACTCTCACCCTTACACATCTTTCTAAAGATACCAGTTCATTAAATGTTTTCTGGTGACTATGACTGTGCTGATATGCAAAAAAGGCTACAATATTGCCTGGCCTAATTGATATTCTATCATCAGCTGGGCAACAGTGGCCTTGTGAGTTGTCTTCCTGGAGCTACTGTGCTACTCCTGGAGCTACTACTGAGACAGGAGACGTATTTTAAATATGGCTAAGCTAGCAAAGCATGCAGGGGAATTGGATTTACTTGTCCATCTAGGAACAAATGAATTGGCTTGCAATGAGGTTTCAGATATAAAGGACGGTTTTTGTGTTTTTGCCAATGATATACAGCAGGTTAGACTGTAAACTGTAATAAAGCGCTGAATTATAGTTGTGTGTTAAGATCTATAAGATAAGGCAGAAAGAGGCTAAGCAAGTTATAAGAGCTTCCAAATCACACACACAAGAGAAAATGGCACAGTCAGTAAAAAAATAGGAGACAAAACAAATTGTAGATACATAAATGAGAAAAGGAAAGTATAACAAGGCTTAGTTAGATTAAAAACAAAATACGGAGGTTATGTCGAAGAGGATCCAGTGATCATCAGTCAGTGTGGTTTAATATAAGAACAGTGACTGCGTCACACCACACAAAAACAAAAGTTTTAGATTTAAAAAAAACAGACTTTACTAAAATTAGAATATGTGTAAAGGAAGCATTATCAGACTGGAGCAAGTTAAATAGAGTCCAAGAGAAATGGGATTATTTAAAAGTTGCACTGCTGAAGGCAACAGAAAATTGCATTAGGCTTGTCAGTAAAAGCAAAAAAATTTAAGAAACCACTGTGGTACTCTGCAAACGTAGCCAAAATAGTAAAAAACTAAAAAGTTAGCATTTAGTAATTATAAAAAAAAAAAAGAGTGCGGAAGATAGACAGGTCTATAAAATTAGGCAGAAAGAGGCTAAGCAAGTTGTAAGAGCTTCCAAATCACACACAGAAGAAAAAATAGCACAGTCAGTAAAAAAAAAAGGGGGAAAAACATTTTTTTTAGATATATAAATGAGAAAAGGAAAGTAAAACAAGGGTTAGTTAGATTGAAAACAAAAGAAGGAAGGTATGTAGAAGAGGATAAACGTCTAGCTGACTGCCTCAATTAATATTTTTGTTCAGTATTTACAGACGAAAATGAAGGAAATGGGCCTCAGTTAGGAAAAGGGACAAATAAGTAATTTGTTAAATGTGAGTTTACAGAGGAATATATTCTATTTCAACGGTCAAAAGTAAAGGCAAATAAGTTGATGGGGCCTTATGGAATACACCCAAAGTTATTAAAAGAGCTTAGTGGTGTACTAGGAAAACCATTAAAGGACCACTATAGTGCCAGGAAAACATACTTGTTTTCCTGGCACTATAGTGTCCTGAGGGTGCCCCCACCCTCAGGGTCCTCCTCCCGCCCGGCTCTGGAAGGGGGAAAGGGGTAAAAACTTACCTTTTTCCAGCACTGGGCGGGGAGCTCTCCTCCTCCGATCCTCCTCTTCTCTTCCCATGTGGCTGAATGCGCACGCGCGGATTCAGCCGGTCACATAGGAAAGCATTATCAATGCTTTCCTATGGACGCTTGCGTGCTCTCACTGTGATTTTCAGAGTGAGAAGCACACAAGCGCCTCTAGCGGCTGTCAATGAGACAGCCACTAGAGGAATTGGGGGAAGGCTTAACCCATTCATAAACATAGCAGTTTCTCTGAAACTGCTATGTTTATAAAAGAATGGGTTAAGCCTAGCTGGACCTGGCACCCAGACCACTTCATTAAGCTGAAGTGGTCTTGTTGCCTAGGGTGGTCCTTTTAACAGATTTATTTAACCAATCATTGTTAACAGGAATAGTCCCAGAAGATTGGAAGTTAGTGAATGTTGTGCCCTTTCACAAGAAAGGTAGTAGGGAGGAGTCTGGCAACTATAGGCCAGTAAGCCTGACTTCAGTAATGGGGAAAATAATAGGAACCATGTTAAATGATAGGATTGTTGAACATCTAAAATCACATGGACAACATTTGTTTACTTCAGGAAGAAGGAATCTTATTGATTTTTTTTTGGTTGGGTAACTAAAATTATAGATCAGAGTGGTGCAGTAGACATTGCTTACCTAGATTTTATTTATTTAAAAAAAATAAAAATAGATTTTGTATTTTTGCTGTGCATATGAATTTTACATGCATCCTGAGGTACCCCAACGGCATTCCACAGGTTCAACATATTGCCATACAATTGTAGTATACGAGAACATAAGCACAATTTTATAATTTGTAGTAGCATGACATTACATCTATAATCTGGTCTAACTAGTGTTTATACAGGCTATTTGAGGTGCGTGAGGAGTCGTTAGACAACAGGCTAAATATGTTAGTAGGCAATAGGCTAGATATACGAAATATATTGTTAGGCAACCAGGCTTTTCTGCCAACTAGGTGCAGGTTCACGAATAAGCGTTGTGGGGAAGCATGCTTTCTTTATGACTGTAGCTGGCTATTATGTATATACATCGGTTGTCTGGCTAGCATCTTGGTTACTTAGCTTAAACGGTTTATAAACAAAAGGGTAGGAAACATAAAGTACTTGGTAGTGTCAAGTTATCAGCTGACATGTTGTGGAGTGGCAGTAAGTACTTTAGGGGGGACACGGGTACCATGCTCGGGGTCACATGGCACAGATTAGCCAATGCCTCGGCTAGGTATGACCGTGTGGCCCTTGGGAACCATCTGTTTTTTCTTTGTGTGATCCTGCAGTTTCACTGGATACAAGTCGTGCTCGCCGTCCCGTTTATTCCAGGCTGCATTGGGGGCCCAAACTGGCGCGCCCCTGTCTCGGTGTTTCCCGTGTGGACCTGAGTTTAGTGTTCCTGAGGGTCATATGGGTCTGTGGTTTGCCGCTTGTACCCTTCTGCCCCGGTCCTTTGCGAGAGCTGGTGGCCTGGTGCCATGAGCCTAGGTTCCTATGCGGCCCAGGGTCGTCCCTGCTGGAATGGTGCAGTGGTCTGTGGTCATCTGTCTTTGTTTTCTTTTTTCTGCCCTCCGCTGGTGTGGTTGGCCTCTTTGGGGTTCGACCCCTGTTGCTCTCCACCCGGGAGGGCCCCGGCTTCGGGAAGTTGTAGTTGAAGGCTCCTATACATCTTGAGGAGGTTTCCCAGGTCTTCCCTTTGCTTGCTCTGTGCATTTTAGTCTCTGTATGACTTGGTTCAATTGACTGTAACCGTGCCAGTAGTTTAGCCCAAAACCAGTCAAATATTATGTTGATTGAGTCTCTCGCTTTGGTGTCTGCACCCCGTCTGATAGGTGGTTGCTCGTGTAGCATTGCTGAGTCTGGTGAGTCCACCATCTTGGAGGTCCCCTCTCCCTCCTTGCTTAGGAAGGCCGTGGATGCAGTCGAGGGGCTAGGGGCTTGGGATCCTCCGTTCTGCGGGGACCGGGTTATCCCCCGCCGGTCCATGGGGGGGGTGAGTGTGTCATACCCATGTCTGGGTGTTCCCGCTTGGTGGGAAAGTGGGCACCTTTCCTCGCTGCCTCCTTTGGTAGGCCTAATTTTGCCGTTGCGGTGCCCGGTCTCCACGGGTGCAGTGTTTGGTACCGCTGGGTTCTGGCTGCTTCCCTCAGTGCTGTGGGCTGTTCCGTCGGAGGTTTGCGGCTCTGCAGCCCCATTAATTCGCAGGTTTGTGTCCGTTGGGCAGCAGCTCCAACGAAACACGTCTTGTCGGCTCTCTAGTTAGGCTACGCCCCCTGCTTACCTAGATTTTAGTAAGGCTTTTGACACTGTTGCGCACAGAAGGCTTATCAATAAACTGCAATCTAAATCCAAAATCTAAGTTTGGATTCTTATATTGTTAAATGGGTTAGGCAGTGGCTGAGTGACAGGCAACAGTTGTAGTCAATGAAAGCATGGTCTTGTTACCAGTGGGGTACCTCAGGGATCTGTACTTGGACCCATTATTTTTTATATTTTTATTAGTGGTATTGCAGAAGGTCTAGATAAGGTATGTCTTTTTGCTGATAATACTAAGATATGTTATTGTCATGTATACATCCTTTCCATTTGCTATGCACAACATAAATCACCTTTCCAGGGGTAAGAGAAGTGCTGCTTGGTGGTCCAATGATGTAAGACCGGGCTTTTGTGACATGCTAGTGGCCGCCGGCCGCTGCAGATCTACACTGTTATGTAGCACCACGTCTGCCCACAGTGGTAGCGACGTCAATGTGCGGGTGATGTTTTGGGGTCAAAGGCCAGGTGCGCCCAATCGAATTCACAAGAGGGATATTTAAACTCACTAATTTCTTCTACTCATTGCCCTGTCATGGTTTCCCTTTGCTGGTTTTCTGAGAGTGTGTTCCTGATCGTGTTTCTTTGGTTATTTCTGACTTCCCTGAATTCTGGTATTCCTGACTATTGGCTATTCCTTGCAACTGTGTTTTGTTCTGTGTTCCTGACCTCAGCTAGTATTTCGACTATTCTCTGGTTCTATTCTCTGGCCATTCTAAGGTCCGGTTAGACATTATCCTTATTCCTAAGTGTGATACTAATACTGTGTGTTGGATCAGTTTTATTCCTGACATTATGACATGGCCATAGATCCTTCAGATTTGTGTCAGCACATAGTAGCTTGTGAGAGAAAGCTAGAGCAGAATTATCACCGTATGGATCAGTTCACCCAAGCTTTCAATACACTACTAATACGTACAGCTCATTTAGAGCCTGAGATTCCGTTGGCAGGTACACCCCCACCTACTGTACCTACTCCCACGGAATATAGGTCACCTAATATCACCCTATCATCATCCCCGCATTTTGAAGGTAATATTCATGAATGTCTAGGTTTTTTGAATCAGATTGAGTACCATTTTGAGGCCTCTCCTGAGTCTTTTCCCACAGATAGAGCCAAAATTGGATACCTAATGAACCGACTGCAAGGTAAAGCCTTCGCATGGGCCAATCCATTATGGGAAAGTAATAAGTCTACTGCCCATAATTACTTGGAATTCCTTACATAATTCAAACTAACGTTTGAACCATTGGGTAGAGAGACCAACGCTGCTACTGCCGTAATGCGTATCAAACAAGGGAACCGGTCTGTCTCAGATTATGCTATTGAATTCCGCGCTCTAGCTTCTGAGGTAGAGTGGACTAATAGCGGATTAATCACTGCCTTTGCAGAGGGATTATCTGAAGCTATCCTTGATGAGATTGCAGCCAAAGAACTACCAGGGATGGTAAATGACTACATCACATATGTGATGCATATCGACAACCATATCAGAATCAGGGAGAGTACTAGAAATAGAACCAGACGCTTGAATATGTCCCTAGCACCTCGCTTCTCCAGACCTGTTGTCTCTGGCCTTCCTGTACAGTCTGAGCCAGAACCTATGCAATTAGGGGTTACAAGACTGTCAGAAACAGAGAAACAGTTTAGGAGAAAGGAGGGCCTTTGTTTATACTGTGGCAAGAAGGGATATATGAGAGATGCTTGTTCTTTACGTCTGGAAAACTTCAGCACCTAAGAACCTTAAGGGGACAGGTCTTGTGTGATGGATATGTCCTCTGTTACTACCCAAAGTAGATTTCTCTTTGATATTACCTTCATTTGCAATAAGAAAAGTTTTGCATGCAAAGCCCTGATGGACTGGTGCTGCAGGAAACTTTAGCGACACGCAATTTGTCAACAGACACTCCATACGTATCAAGGAGAGATCATTACCCCTGCCTCTGGAAGCTATTGATGGGAGACCTCTTTTTCAGCCGTTTATTACCCACAAAACTATGCCTATAAGTATTATTATAGGAGTGTTAAACAAAGAGACTATCACATTTCATATAATTGTTTCTCCTTCTTGTGCCATCATATTAGGATTCCCATGGCTTGTTAAGCACAACCCTCATATTGACTGGGCTAAGGGTGAAGTACTGGAATGGGGTCAAGACTGTAGTGAAAGATGCATGTCACCCATTACTAAGAGAGTGGGCATCGTTACTTTGTCTACTTCCACACCTCAAACATCTGAAATTCCTGTGCAGTACTGGGAAGTTAGAGAAGCA